TCAGTAACTCAGACTTGGAATCTCCCTTAATAGGCAGTTTAATGAAGAGTTCTTTTCTTTTCACTGTTGTCAGTGGTGCTGTCGGCGGTCGTTCTGTCAAATTCTTCAGAACGAATCGCTCCGGATAGCCGTTGTCAAACAGTGTTTGCTTTATACTTCCCAGTTCCTGAGGCAAACAGTCTGCTGAGCAAAATTTTCTTTGCTGGATACGCAAGGGTTTGGAATAGGTTTCGCTTGTCCTTCAGAACCACAACACTGGCAAAATTAGAGGATTGCCCAGTCCAAGTTGGTTTACAATAAACAGAGCGCTTTATCACGCTTCCCTGGCATCTTGTGAGTTTTACATCTAGGAAGTGAAAATTTTCTCCCAGTTATAATTCAGTTTCTTCCTAACATCGAAAAATTGATTTGCTTCGGTAAAGTAAAAATCACTCCAACGAGAGAGCACAGATGCGCTTGACCTTAACAATCGAGCGTGGATTTGCTTTGTTCTGGATGGCCTCCCCTATTGACGTTATCCTATCAGTCATAATTATTAGCAGTCGATAACTGAACATTCCATTGATCAACTGATTTCTAACTGCCTTATGTGTGGCAATAGGCGATCAAAAGGCTTCTGTATGTATCGCCAGAAGGAGATCACCATCCAGTGCCTTTTCTTGATCTTCGCACAAATCCCTTAACATTATTTCTCTCCATGGGCGGGTGAATTGGTTTCAAGCATTTGCCTACTTATGAGTAGCAACAGTCCAATAATGATACTGCAATAAGTCGTTTACGTGAGACCTCAACCACGAGTGAACGACTATGGATAGTCACAAGTCTAAGGGATGTGGCCACGGGCGAAATAATTTTATTGTATTTAAGATAAAAAATAATTAGGTTAGTACCACTGGGATATTGAAGAAAAGCTTGGTGATCGAGCGCACCGTGACAACGCCAACCAAAGTACGACGCAATGCAGCTTCCAATCGTTCAATAAGCAGCCAGTGTTCTGGACCAATCAAAATCCACCAGGTTAAAATAGGAGTTGCGTCCAGAATAACAAGAAATACGATTAATCGATACTGCTTCAGTCAACGATACTATTTTTTCATATCATTTGACGGGCGATTTCGGTGCTAGTACTAATTTGATTACATCCGTGATTCTCGAGTAATAAAATCGCATTAGGCTGCAATCACATTGCCCGGCAACGTTAGTGGCACGGCTCATTATAGTTGATGTTGCAAATTCATCGTTATACATATAGTATATATTTGAGTCTTGTCCTATTTGATGTTACAAATACCCAAAATTTTGTTTCTGAAAGATGCACATACAGATTTTACGCCCTTCATCAACGTCTTTTCGTTTGCGCAACGATAGACAATTTTTTCAAGACTAAGAACTATAAATTATTTATTTTCAGAAAACCAAAGAACAACATCAGATTGCAACTGATCCATAGGTTGAAATTCTTCAGATCCTTTCACTGTAGTCATTCTATGCATTTATATCAATGATACCTCTCAACTTGTTTTCCTTCTGGTTCCACCTGGGCACAAATCATTTTTTTCTCTCCGAAGGCCTACGATCTGGCACACGACCTTATTGTAACACCCAAACGATTGGAATTCGCTCGAACCCAGGAAGCGAAACTATTCGAGAGCATGCTTCAGTCAGCCAAAAAACGGCAACCATTTATCACGGCCATGGTCAGTGAGACGCTAAACGAGATGCGTGAACAGTTGCCCGTGATGGCTGCGAGGGATTTGGACTTTCGTCAGTTGTGCATTCTGCCAGTCAATCGGATTTCCGGACGTCCGGGTAGTGCTAGCAGCCAACTGAATCCATCCACATCGTCCATGGTTGTTCCAGCTGAAAACCGTACTGGCAAGGGTCAGTCTACTGAGATGATCCCTTCGGTCGAACAATCTTGTCCACATGATCATGGGATTCGCGAGGCCCGAAGTCAACCAACACTGGCCTTTGTGAATAGTCACTCGCGTGGACCGGTTGTCGGTTCTAGTTCAAGTAAGAGACATGAGAAAGAAGTGAAAACCAATAGCAGTTTAATGCTCAATGGATATCTTAAGGATGTGACGAAATGATGATTGGGAAATAAGCAGAGAAGCTCTGTACAGTCACATGATAGAAACCTAAATTCCAATAGAGCTTGCGTTGCTTCAGTGCGTTTAAATAATTCAATAATTCTGAATATTCTTCAGATTCTTACTTACTGATCATTTATAAGTAAGGCTACTAGTATAACTAGCATTAAAAGATGATCCGACAAGTTGTATCGAAACAGAAATTGTTAAATAGCACGTGAATCTTTTTAGGAGCCATGGTCTGCAGTGCCTATAAGCTAAGCGTTGGACTTACGTTCAAATGCAACAGAAGGGAGCAACTATTTACAAGAATTGAAGTACCTGTGCATGAACTTAACTGATTATCTAAATATCGTGGACATCCGAAATTAAGTATTTCGGTACTAATATAAGATGTCGAGATGCAGTTTCCCTTTCTAGGTGGAAAAGCAGTGGTGGAGGGATTTCTCCATTACTCGATCAACTTCCCGGTCGCCAAGTGAGTAGTATGTTTACGTCCTACGTGTGAAGTTCCAGACTTGATGCATCGGTGAATTCACATAGCCAAAGAGACTCAACACTACCTGCAAATTGCATCTCGGCTTTCAGTTCACGTTTCTTTTGTTCTCTTTGAGAGCAATTTCTCATGTTTTCATCGACCGATTTATTCTGCGTGGGAAACTTAACTATCTGGACAAATGATTTATATGATCGAGAAAACCTTAATGGTTATATCCAACATTCAGAATAGCAATATCAATAGGACTCTACTAGCTCCAACTCGTATTGTCGAATGTTCGCACATTTCTAATTGGTTATGATTTCGGTTATCACCCATTGGAAAACGAGTGTTGATGAGTTTTTCACAGGCACTGTTGATGATCTTGGGTGTGGGTTTCATTCCTTGGGAATTCGTTAATTCCCCACCAGTTTAGGGCATTTAAATGCCATGGAAGTCACCGTCTAGATTGATTGAGCCGTTTGCACAAGGTCATCACCGTCGACCGTGTAGCTCAGGGATGAGTTTTTGAATTCTCCACCCGAAAGTTGGCGGTTCGAATCCTGACAGGAACACTAAAAGTACACACTGCTGACGAGTTCCACACAGGACGAAGGAGCAGTCCAATGCTCTTTGTCGGTTATCACAAACATTTCCATCGCACTGAGATTGTTCTCGTGCCCTAGTTATGGAACTTGTATAAAAGATTGACATTTATCTAGAATTTCGGCGGTCACTGCATACCATTTCACATGAACCTCTCACTGATTTCCATTTTACCTTGCAGTAATTTTTCATGTTTTTCGTTTCGTACCATAGATATAACATTTAGATGAGAAAAGAACACCAAACCATAGAACAACATATGCTTTATTGTAATCTATATACCGTAAAACGAGAATTTGAACTGAAGAAATACAGCCCCTACGAAATGTGGTTTTTGAGAATGGGAGATGTTCCGCAATCATCCAAACGAGCGTACAAACAAGCAATGTTACGAATGACGCACATAATTATTAATTAATAGTTAAACACTTTAACCAAAGGGGTATTTTGAAATCGGTATAAGAATATTGAGGCTCACTGCACGGCGACAACTACAACTGAGAAATGACGTAAAACTGCGCCATTTAGTACAGGTTACTTGACACAGAGCACACTGTTGGCTTTCAGAGCATAATTTGGCAACGTTGTTTTCTAATTTCTTCACTCTCAAAAATGTACTGATAGTAATTATGGTCAGCTTCATCAAAATGAAAAAAGGCAGGAGATTTTTAAATTCCCGAATGATTGTCACTATTACACAAATCAGAAAGGATTTTCTGTCAAGCTGGGACAGTTTCGCCTTTTCCGAATTTGGACGCAATTGTTCACATTAGTTTCCTTTGGTCACTGGCGGTGAGTGCCTATCGTCAGTTTAGTTTGATCCGTATGATTTCTATCAATCTCATTGGGACTTTATTTCCTGAACGCTTTCTTTTTCTTTTGCAGTTGAGGAAGTGAAGCCGATCGGAAGAAATCCCGACTTACAAGAGTACAAACTAGCCGTGAGGATGGTACGAGATTACGTACTGCAGCGCCTGACCGGTGCGATTGCTTCTCGAGTGTTGGATTGTATGGAAGTGATGCAGCAATCATGTGTTGGTAAGTATCGTGTCCCCGATTTTTGCTGATCAGTGAAGGTTGAGATTTTCTTTTGTTTGTGTAAGGTATGTCTTTAGAACAGGATGGTATTTACCGTTGAGATGAACCGTGAAATTGTTCACATGCGATATATGAATAAAGATCATAAGTGTTATGTTTATAATATTTTCGTAATAATCATAACAAGCGTCTCTGTTGTAGCCCAATCGGTGAAGAAGAGGAAACACAACACAAACGCCATGACGGTTGGGTTGTATCACCTGGTTGGCACATTTATCGTCCAATCAGATTCATATGGCCCATCGGGTGGTACGCACGCTTTCCCACTTATCGTCCGGACGTTCCTTCTAAACAATACTGGAGAAACATCTGGAGTTCGCCTGGAACTTAGCAGAATATGATCAACATTCTACAAATAAATGAACTGAAGAGGACTTTTTATTGCAACCAAACAAATAATGTATTCCAATCTAAGACAAATAGTTACGTTGGATAGAAAATAAACCAAATGGGAAGAAGAATCAAGCGAAGCGCTACGGTCAACACACTGAACAGAGAGTTTGATGAGCTGTTTTAGTCGATCGCCCAAGCTGCAACCACATCTTGTGCAAAGAGTAAGGAGAATGCTGTCTCTCAAAAGTTCACTTTCTGGTCGCCGTAGAACGTGACCGCATGCCAACTTTCTACATTGCGCAACTGTACAGCCAAAATAACCACACGGTGCCACAGTGCATGCGATATTCCAGCTTTATCGCAGTTTCAGATGGAGATGGAAGCAATTTCAGTCCCACGTAAAACCCAATAAGCATTGCAAATGTTTATGGTGACCTCTATCCCTATGCCAACCTCATTAAGCCCACCACTACTTACCCAGCAGAAACAATCAACCGCAGTCAGTTTCTTACTAACGAGCTTCAAAGAAGGGGCGATCGAATATTGATCTTATAGCATCAGTCTAAGCACTCAAGGAGTATACCGAAAGGAACGACAGAGCTTACTGGCTTTTCAAGTGCGTTTTAAGCTTACTGCACAAGTTAGAAAGAAAAAATATATGGTCAAAGTACTGTATATTATCGGGTTTGCTTGCAGCTGTTTATTCATTAATGACATTTCGGCTACTGTTAAGGCATCGGTCAGCAATTACTCGATGATGCAAGTGAATAAGACTAAAGAAAGAGAGCGCTCTCGTTAAATACCGCTGCTCGTTTTGGACGGACCAATTATTTCTCAAGGGTTCGAAGTGAGTTACTGCTAGTTGAAAGCTGTCGGTAGATCCGGTCAGAACATGGGAAACGTGAGGTGCAGAACTAAATGCAAGAAATTGTTCCGGTGCAATTCATTCCAGTTTATTAAAAACACGATGATTGGAAAAGTTAAAGTTAACTTCTGAAAGTATGAAGCTGCTATTCTGATCAAGAAAGTTTACCTATAGGAGCACGGTGGCTATTGTTTGAAGGCATTGTGTTACCTTTGGGTGGTGGTGGTGCAGTAGTTTATTCGCTGTCACCGACGTGCTTTGGACATTATGGTCGGAGGTTCAAGCCCGCCACCGCCGCCCGACTTTGTTGCTAGGCAGCTTTTCTGTCGTCCGGTTCAATACCACGCTTAACCTATCGGGGCCTTATTTGGTTCGCCGCTCCAAGTCCTACTGTTTAAAGTTACCGGTTTTCATCACTGAACAGCAGGTCCTAGTGACTATGGAGCCTTCCCCGTCGGCCGTTCATTTCACTGTGTAAAAAAACTTCGAAAGTACACTGGACAGTGACCGATCGAGAAGAAAGGTTATCTGACTTGAAAAGGTGAGGTTAACTTCTAACTAATTATCACAATAACAAGGCCTAAGTTGGCCAATGAATACGTGAATGTTGTTGGTTTTGTGTAATGATTGTACAAGTAGTAGTAGTATTGCGCACGGAACTCGGGACACAAACCACGCAATAGGAATCACAGGACCAACTCAAAGATCAGCTATCCCGGACAGGATTACGGAAGCACTGGACAGAAACGGTGCTAATACGCAATGTCCCACGCAACTGAGACGCGAGGAAAAGGTCACAAGAATGGTAGTTCGTTTATCGGACAAAATGAGGGTGATTGAATAATATGTACAAAAGATCATTGGTTACCTAGGCTTCCACCAATCGTATTGCAGTACTGCTTACATAATTCTGCTTGTCTGCACTGTCTCGGATTGGCTGGCACAACCTGCCTATGGTGTGTAGTCAGAAGCCGCGATGCGTACGCGCGTCATTGACGTCACCTTTCAAATTCGATTGATCACAGGTGTCCAGAAACTGTGACGCGCCTCTCCAGGGTAGGCGCCACCACATTTTGACATATATATAATATTTGACAAGTCTGCCATAGCCTCGCAACCATGTTCCGATAGCTATGAGATTGCAGGTCTGGTTCGTAACTGAACTTGTCTTGGTGTCTATAACACCAGATTTGGTGAAGTTATCTTCGGTCCGCGATATAATGATTACGTTTAGTGCAAGGAAGCAGGAAAATGATACCGCTGTTGTGTAACTGTCTGCTCAAGAACCGCATCCTATGTACTATATGAAAGACATGAGGAGAAATCGAGGCGGAGAAAATTAGTCTAAGTACTGATAAATTTGGCGGCGACAGAAGTAGCATATATGATAAAGATGATGTATGATATACTAAGAATTATAGAAAAAAACGATAAGATCGTGGAAAAACAGCATATGATCTCCAGTCATTCGACAGATTAACTTGAAGTGTTTTTACCAAAGCCTCGAAATACAGCAGGGACCACATGGGAAACAATTTGAAAAATACTGAATTAAGAATGATCACCGTCTGAACTGCACTAAAAATAGTTCAGCCCTAGAATCCAGAAGAACGGATAGCACCGTTTGCGAACATTGATTTTTGTGCGTTTGATCCCGGGAAAAATAACGCGAGAGTCATAATTTCACAGCGTTATTGCATAATATTAAGGCTGATAAGTGTCGCATGACATTTTGGGCGAAGGTTTGGAAAAGCATTCAAAACATTTAGGCTAATACATCATATATAGAAAGAATCGATGACTGTGGAGCGCTGGTCCTCGAAATAGTCGCCGCCTCTCAACACCCAAAATTGCATGCATATGCGAGTGGGTCAAACACTAAACACCATAGAGTCCTCCACACAAGGAAACGCTCTTCGGTCATCCGCATGTGAAAAGGATCTGGGTTTAATCTCAAGATCTATAGCCAATTCGATAGGGTGTGTGCGTTGGCCTGGAGGATATTGGGAGCCATATGGCGGTCGTTCAGCGAATTTTCCCCGAATGCCTTCAAAGCGTTGTACGCCTCCCGCATATACCCAAGATTAAAAATATTGCGGTCCTGCATCTTTTCCGTACACAACGCCTCGTGGCTGGGCTGCGTGATGTCACCCACGAAGGACACTTGTGAGCCACAGGATTGTTTCCATTACCTCACAGGCGAGCGAGAATAGAAGTTATCCCTAGTTGCTAGCATCTATCACTTATTACTGAGGGTGACACTCTCCACGTGACTCAACGATTGATCGCCTTTGAATGTTCACGATTAAAATATGAACTATATTGATCGGTGTTAAATGATTATTATGGTTATTCGGACTGACAATGAATAACCTGCTGTAGTCAAACAACACTGCTAGGAGATTAGGACATCGTGATTTGACGGTCACTTCGGCGAATAATCTGCTCAACGTATGAGGGGGTAGACATCAAATATACCGTTTCATGGTTCATTGGCACCAGGAAGACATTTATGACCTATTGCTTCTTAACAGCTTTCTTTTTCATTTGGAAAATTCCCTTGTCGAGGGCATCACATCAACGGGATAGCCGAAATACGATATATCGTATTGTCTGCAGACCACCTAAAACTTTGCTTATTTATTTCACATGTGAGATACTTAGTTTACACACCGGTCGCTGAGGTCCTCCTGGAATAGGAACGGTAAATCTACGCTCACTAACCTCATTCCTAATTGCCTTTTCATTTGAGATAAGTAATCACGTAAATGAGTTAGGTTAGGGCGTCAGTTGTAAATCGCGTGTGGTCCGTGCTTAGACAAAAATGATGGTGACTATTTCTGCCCCATTTCCCCTTACTGCAGTATGGTAAACCTGCTCATGTTTTAATTTTTAACATTCTGAAAAGATCCCCTGTTCCTCTAGTGCTTAATTTCCAATCCAATGGGATTTATTAATTTATTTAAGCGATTATTTAAGTGAACACAAACCGTGGATGCTTTCATTAGTGTTTTCGAAGTCAATCACTTANNNGAATGACCTCGCAAATTATGAAGATTTTCGGTTTACACATTGTAGGCTGATGTTTTACTCTATTGCAAGTCCGGAGAGATTGATGCAGCCGGTTATGATGATCGAACAGTGTGCCTTCGTGACTGCAGGAGATTCACCATTTCGATTGTCTCATTGTACCATTCGTATTGAGAACAAACATTAATTCAAAATCAATTCACTATTTTGTTGTTGCCATTGTTCCTGCAGGTACTCTGGAACGCACAATTGCGAACCTTGAAAGACTGACCGATAATGAACTGACGACACAACGCGTGGCATCCTGTCCCTATTTGGAATGTCTCACGGACGGTGATGATCTAACTCTGGGCGAACGCACACCGGGTGGTACACCAACAGCAGTACAAGGATCAGCTGCTGAGGAACCAATGCATGTGTCACTCCACGGAGTAATGGTCTTTGGCACGGGTGATTCAAAATCCGAAATACGTTCAATGCCCTCATCCCCGCTTGGGAAAGGACGGTGCTTCTATCACTCGTCCATTGTCCCCGGCTGTCGCACTCCGCCCGAGAACGCAATGGAGTCCGAAGATGCGACGTTGGCAGCAGCGGAAAATGCACGAACAGCCGATGTTGCACTCAAAGCACTGTTACGGTTCACTTACGCTCTGACAGTGCCCATGAAACGGACTTTAGCTTCACAATTATCCACCCTGTTCGACCGACTAAGAAAGGTATATTTTGCTGTTGATATTTTCATTTCATGTTTGTTAAACGGAGCAGTTGGTGGGCAAATGTTGATTGCATCAGCAGTCAAAGTGGCAGGATCCTGCCATATATAAAATATGGTAGAGCTGCAATTTAAAAACCAACTTAGATTCTCTAAAGAATGAAGGCACTGTGTCCCATTTCGTGCACCTCGTCTAGGTATGTAAAATAAACCGTGACAGGATGAATAACATGGGAACATAGGAATGATCAATTGTAACGAGGTAAACACCAATCTCCCGGTTAGAACTGTGGCTCTCGAAGCTCGTTTGTTCAACTGAAGCATCGGCTTGCAGCCTTCGTCTTATGAAATAGAAATGCGCTGCGCAAAAGCACTCAGTCATCAGTCGTGAATAGACACCTACAAGATAGATGGTTGCAATCCAACCCAGATGCACAGTATCCATTGGTCAAATTAAGTGAGTGTTTGAGTAGTGTGAATTGTCCAAAATGTACATTGAGAAAGTGAGTCATTCTGGTCTCGTCGTGGACAAGGAACATAAATGGCAGAAAAAGAAGATTTCTCAGAGGATTTATTCCATTGTGTCAGAAGACTGATAAAGCCTAAGCAAGACACGTGGATATGTTCTTGTGGATTGTTTGCAAGTAGTGAACGAGATGAGAGATGTGCGAATTCTATTAAAATGCGGTGTAAGGCTGAAGTATTTCTATTCATACTACTTGACCCGGATGTTGTTAGTTTTACCAATGCCTACATGAAAGAAATGATCGGCGTCCTATCTATGTGATTGGAATATTCAAAACTGTAATAACGATTAGTGAATAATATTATTATTATATATTATTATTATTACATTGGATGTGCAATAGTTTCGACGGAGAAATCGCTCTGGGAGACTAGTGTAGAGGTGAACGAGTTTGACCATTTGTAACGAACCTCGAAGATGAGTTGTGCTATATGATACTTGGAGAAGATGAAATTAGCCTGATCAACTATCCAGGTGGTCCGATTTGTTCCACATACAAGCTTTCCGGTTCTATTGATGAATTTACACTACTGCTAATATTCAATCAGATTTGAATGTTTTCCAAAGCCTCCCAGCATTTTGGGCTTGGTTCCTTTGCTCGGCACATACAGGAATTGCCATTTAATCGAACCGAATCCTAGCTACCCCCACATCGATTTCCCTTATTGAAAATTCAACGATACAATCAATTTTCAGGAAGATGGAAGTGATCAAATTAAATGCATGGACACATGGAAACGCGAATTTTAGGCGGCGACAGTGGCAGAATTCCAACACGGGACCCCTAGGATGTGATGACCTTTACCTTCACAGTTAAACAATACAAACGGAAAGCTTGATCAGATCGAATGGCATCAGTTTCACGGAAAGTTACCTACAAAACTACTTACAAAACCAGGTTAGATGTGTGTGGAACGCAACTGATGCAACGACGGAACCAAACTGTTTGTTTGAAATGATTTAAAGCAAAGTCTCGTGACTATCGTAGAATGCATTTATAGTTCAAGGAAGACCAGTCCACGAAACCACTGTTTTCCGTCCTTAAATATGATGAAAGTACAATGAAGTGTCCGCAGTTTAGTAGATTTAACCAACTTCATGCTTTTCATTACAACTGTGAAAAGATCAAGCGTTCTAGTGGGATTTGACCACACGTGCGCACACACATACATGGACACCATCCGTGCTGTTCACTCATTGCGGTTTTCAAGCTAATCTACGGGATTACATTCATCAGATTTGATGAAAATAAAAATTATCCTTTTGAACCGCAATGTAATTCTACCCATGAACCGTCTTCGAAAGCGATCCTACTTCCTTGTTTGCACTAATACAGGTATTTGTGAGTCCGATCTCGTGGCGTGGACCGATGGAATTGAAT